CTGTTTTGGTGATGGAATATTGAGCCCAATTATGATATGTTGGGTGCCACCCAATATCGATTGGTTCTCAGTTGTTTGGCATGATCCACGCTGTGCGTGAGAAGGCGTATTAGAGTCCCACATTGACTGATGATATTTACACGATCCACTTAAGGCGAGGACAATCCTCTCATGACAAGCCGGTTTTGTTAGATTGAATTAGGCCTAATATCCTTTCTAATCTCTAACAACGGTATGATCGCCAAGTGTTATAGAGTAGTATCCACTTATTTATTCTTATTTTTATTTATAAGTTCGTTGTTTGTAAAATTTTCTCAGACGGAGATCAAATAAATTTATTGTTTTAATAAATATTATGTTTGACGAGAAATTCGGAAAATACATATTGTTTCGAGATCGAGCATCTCTACCACCTATAAATAGTCTCATATCGTGTGAAACAAATAAATAAAAAACAAACGTTATCAAATTCCATTCCATTTTCTAATAAACGACAAAAAATTAGGTCGCAACTCATTTTTAGATTTATTCATAAACGTGTATTTTTGTAATGCTATAAACTCCGCATCAGTTGTTGCACTAAGTCGATATTAAGCCCCCGTTTGGTTAGCTAAAAGTAAGTTATTTTTTTTAATCTATTTTGTTAAAATGTGTGATTGAAGTTAAAAAGTTATAAAAATTGAGGGCCAAACAGGGACCAAGTAAGGGCTTTATATTTGTTAAGTACTTGAAAAGGATAATTTTTCTTCTCGATTCCAATAAAAGGGCCCTTGAAAAAATTATTATTTACTAACATGCACCAATAAAAGTGGATGCTTGTACCTATCATACAGCGAGAACTAGGAATGGCAAAAAACCCAATAAACCCGATATTTGCGGGGCAAATTATTATTTACTAACATGTACTAATAAAAGTGGATGCTTGTACCTATAGCAAAGATAGGATCGAGAACTAGTAATGGCAAAAAACTCGATAAATCCGATACCCGCGGGACCCGCCTATAACGAGGCGTGGATAGTCTGCTTAATTGGGTATTCGATGGTGCATTGGAAATGGAAGAAATAATTTAATGTTCGTTTAATAAGCAATTGTGGAAATGAATTTCAATTCCATGTTAGTTGGAAGATAAAAACCCACCAAACTCGTAAGAATTCGTTTTCCATAAAAACAAAGAAAATGCAACTTAAAGTAGTTTTACCTTAAAATTTGATTTCCATTTCTACGTTGCAATCAAACGGTCAAAGTAAAATTCGTTTTCCTCGGATGTGACATTTTTCACGTAAAAGTTTGCAATCAAACATGGCCTTTAGTCTTTTGTAGTCTACTGCTGCCAAGACCGCACTTGTTTCTCCCAAGTACTCCTAGTCGAGGAGTTTTCTGAAAATACTTCTTCTAGTTTTTAAAGGGAGCTGACTTGGAGTGATTTTTTCAAAAAGTTTTAGAGCTTGTTTGGTAGAACTTAAAATCCAATTAAAATTGAAAATATAGTCGTTATTGGGTCCTACTTGTTTAATAAAAGTCCACAATAACGACTAAATTAATATCTACTGAACACGCCCTTATTATTTTTCTGACCCCTGATCAAGAGCTCATCTTGTCACTTCCTTGCATGGTTACATTACAATAGGTGAAACTGTTGTACAATTTTTTATTTTTTTTTGAATAATGTCAATTTGTCTGATGAATTTGACATCATGGATTCGTGGCCGATATAGGAATTGAAGCCAGATAGAGCGGTCGTCTACCGTCATAATGGCAAAATCGTTTATTAATATTTAATTAAATAATATTAAAAAAATTCAATTAAGATATAAATGCACTAAAACGTAATATCATATAAACATGAAAATCTAACCCAATATAACCCGATATTATAAGAAAAATTACATAATACCTCTCTCAATAACTGTAAGCTCAAACAATTGCTTTGTTTGGAGTCTTAATATTTTGAAAGCCCTGCAAGATTGTTTCATTGTCAATGTTTTCAAAAATCTATATGAAGATCAAACGTAAATCACATATTGAATCATTAAACTATCATCAAGTTTTCATTCCAATTTTCAAATTCCGACACCAAATTATTATTTATCTCAAATCCTTCAAATTATCATTTTCATATATCACAAATCACAGTCCACGGTCAACATATATGATATCACATATTCTCAAATTCACAAAATCCTCAATTTTCATACAGCCTGTTTGTTTTCCATTTTGATGCCCATTTTCAGAAAAAATATGACCGTTGGGCGCCGTCATTTTTGACTTTTATCACACAAAAGCCTTGAAAAGTGGTCCTCCAACGGCTACAAATTTCATTTTTTGGGATGAAAAATATGCCCCAAACAGGGCCATAAATATTAACACTAACAGCAGACTCTTTACTCTTAAGTCATAAATAGTCTCACATTGTCACGGTAAATAGTAATAATCATAAAACATAAAATCATAAATCATAATTGATAAATTTGACTGATAACTCATAATTTCATAAATAATAAATTGAAAAACGAACTAAAAGAATAAAAATCAAAAAAGAAAAATGAAGAGAG